AGAACTTTATATTACCACTTACCATTTAATTAATGTAGAAGGATGACACCAAAACACCTGCCTAACTATCTAGAACCTACACTGGCCAGCTAGGTCTAAATACAAGGACTGGAGTACTTCTCTGAGAGTTGTGATGACGATGATGCCGCATCATTCATTTTCCAATCTCACCACCCTATTATGGTGGTTTCGTAAGTTTCCTGTCCCACTTCTTCAGCAGGGGACATTAACACAAATTCCTATTACAAATTTAGGCCGATACTCCCCATTATGCCTCGGAAAACGCCGAACTATCAGAAAAATGTAGTCCAGTGTTCACCCATTAAATTCAATATGGCGTCTCCCCAGAGTTGCTCAGCCGTTCAACTACCTCCTCCCTCACTCAAAATTTCTCGAAGGGTCAAAGCAGCATCATATTTTATTACACAATTATTATATTAATTCATTTATATGTTCTACATTCAGGAAATTTTGTAAAAAATTTCCACAGAATTGTTAATTTTACATCAGCCGCGTAAACAGTGTCGCCTCAGCCGAGCACCTCAAAGTTTCCAGAACAGGCACATTCTGGGGGGGAAAAATGCAGCACTTACTTCAAAATGGTAGTGGGCCAGTGACTGGTTGGTTGCTTATGCTCACAGCATAACTGAAAGAGGTGACCTTGCGCAGCTTGTTTGCTCCATAAGCCTCCAGCCACTATAACATGGCGGCCTATTTACCGATGGCTACTTTACAATTATTTACAACTGCTTATTACTTTCAGGTAATATGTAACTTATAATTTATTATAGTTACTAATCACTAAAAGTAACTTGGAAAACAGTAATTTACCGGTACCACAGCACTGGAACCACCAATTGCCTGTAACCTAAAAACCTATCCTTGTTTTCAACCTTGCACATATTAGGGTCAGTGGGATTTTCTGAGACTGAAAAAAAAAAAACGAGTGCTTTATGTCACAAAATATGGTATGTATGCAGTGTACAAGATCACAAGATCCAAATAACCACGATACAGCCGGTTTGTTGAAAGGAAGAAAGAAGATGCATGGTACCCACTCTTGCATATATATATGTTGTGTACGGTTTAAGGGTTAATCAATATAAAATGTTTAAAACACACACAAAATAATATCAATCAACATAAAATGGGAGATTCTAAAGAAAAATTGCAAAGGTTAGTGGATGAGCTTGGGAGTGTGTGTAAAGGTAGAAAGTTCAAAGTGAACATAGAAAAGAGTAAGGTGATGAGGGTGTCAAATGATTTAGATAAAGAAAAATTGGATATCAAATTGGGGAGGAGGAGTATGGAAGAAGTGAATGCTTTCAGATACTTGGGAGTTGACGTGTCAGCGGATGGATTTATGAAGGATGAGGTTAATCATAGAATTGATGAGGGAAAAAAGGTGAGTGGTGCGTTGAGGTATACATGGAGACAAAAAACGTTATCTATGGAGTCAAAGAAGGGAATGTATGAAAGTTTAGTAGTACCAACACACTTATATGGGTGTGAAGCTTGGGTTGTGAATGCAGCAGCGAGGAGGTGGTTGGAGGCAGTGGAGATGTCCTGTCTAAGGGCAATGTGTGGTGTAAATATTATGCAGAAAATTTGGAGTGTGGAAATTAGGAGAAGGTGTGGAGTTAATAAAAGTATTAGTCAGAGGGCTGAAGAGGGGTTGTTGAGGTGGTTTGGTTGAGGCGGGGTAGGGGTCATCCTCGAAAAGGTTGAAGGGAGGGGGTAAAGGAAGTTTTGTGGGCGAGGGGCTTGGACTTCCAGCAAGCGTGCGTGAGCGTGTTCGATAGGAGTGAATGGAGACGAATGGTATTTGGGACCTGACGATCTGTTGGAGTGTGAGCAGGATAATATTTAGTGAAGGGATTCAGGGAAACCGGTTATTTTTATATAGCCGGACTTGAGTTCTGGAAATAGGAAGTACAATGCCTGCACTTTAAAGGAGGGGTTCAGGATATTAGCAGTTTGGAGGGATATGTTGTGTATCTTTATAGGTATATGCTTCTAAACTGTTGTGTTCTGAGCACCTCTGCAAAAACAGTGATTATGTGTGAGTGAGGTGAAAGCGTTGAATGATGATGAAAGTATTTTCTTTTTGGGGATTTTCTTTCTTTTTTGGGTCACCCTGCCTCGGTGGGAGACGGCCGACTTGGTAAAAAAAAAAAAAATGTTTAAGATATAAACAAAATAAAATTAATCAACATACCAGTATAATGTTTAAGGCATACACAAAACAATTCAAAGAATATTATTATATTTTATTATCTTACAAAGTAACAAATATAAGTTATATATAATATAGTTTTGGATTCTACAAATGACTTTGTTTACAATTATATTACTCACATTTCTGCTTCATCATCATCATCAATTTCAAAAAATCAAAGCTAAATGCAGAAGGGTCATTCAGCTGTTGAGTTTTACAAAAATTAATCTGTCTCTTTGTTGGGTCTGAAGTTTACCTCCATTAAACTATGGAGAAATTGCATTCACGTATAAATTCACATAATTATTTCTGAAACTAATTAGAATTATTAAACCTAAATCAGGACTAAATCTTTTGTGCATAAAATATATTTTAAAACATACATCATACAATAGACCTTCAATTGACATTTCATCTCTGAATACATTTTTGACATGACACAACTGAGTCATGTTGACGGCAGTGAAGGGACTTGAGCTAGAGTTCGTCACGGCCACGCTAGCTGGAGATTCGTCTGTAAAAACTTGCATTTGTGGTCACAGAGGTGCCTGTGCTAACCTTCCTATGGTGTAGAAATATACCTAGTTAGACGAATCTTATTGTGGCTAGCTGGTCTAGTGGCTAACGCGACGGGCTGGAGTTTTGAGACTCTATGACCGCGGGTTCAATCCCGGCCGGGGGTATGGTTTTTTCACAACTGAAATTTTGAAACCTAATTTCAACAAGCAAGCTGCAACTTTCAATCAGCACAGCATAAATTTAGGGGAAAATATGGCATGAAGCAGGATCTTTCCCTCTCTTTTGCAGCCAATATTTTGATGGGGAAGGCCACCCACATCGGCAGTCCCCCATGTGTACACATCCTACACCATATTCAGTTATGTATTACATCTTTTCATCAGTCCATCTTATTTCTGGATATTAACCATAGCACCAAGAGGAATATGAATGATGCTGGAGGTGCCAAGAGAGAAAAAGCATGAAATTCTTGGTGTTTAGAAAAAAAAAAACGAGATTTTAGATAAGCCTAAAAGTGGTGCATGTGTGATGAAAGATAGTGCAAGTCTTTGGTCTCAAGGAAACAACAATTTACAAAATTAATAAGAATGAGAAGAGCTTGTTTAATAAGTAACCCAGGTATAGTGGTTCAGCAACCCAGGTAGTGACCGAGTAACCCAGGTAATGACCTCTTAAAAGGAATGACACAGATGGGTAATACACCACCAGTGACTACAATAAGTTCAATTCACAATCTTAACAGCATAAAATATGCTTAACAAGTAAATAGAAAAAGTTTAACTCTACCTTAAATTCTTTTTCTCATACTTCTTGATGTAGAAAAGTTTGAGGCTGTTATGTAACTCAATTAAGCAGTAGATGGTTATACAGGTATTGAGCAGTAGATGACAAGAGCTGTATATTTATCAGTGATGTCTCTCATACCTTACATCAGATAATGCAATCACACCCTCCACTATGCAAATTGATGTTTATAATAATGACTAGGAAGAATTTTCTCATACAGAACTTAAATTCTCTGTTCTAATGCATGTAAATAGTGTTATTAAGTACTGAACAATAACTGGCTTAGTGTTGCATGTCATGTTTTACTACAGTGATGCCTTTCAAACATTTAATCACATGATGATGCAATCCCACCTTTCTCTATACAATTTTCTCATTTATAATAGTGACAAGTAAGAAATTTATCATATCTTAAATTCCTTTTTTCTTGCATGTTGTAGTGGAAATGTTAGAGAGATGTTTATGTAGCTCAGTGAGCAGTCAACTGCTGTGGGTTGTTTAATCAACTGATGTCATATGCTTCACTACAATTTTATAATTTATAATAGTAACAAGGAAGTATTTTATCAAACTTTAAATTCCTCATTTAATTGCTTGTTGATAAAGAGGTATTTGGAGAAGTTATATGACAAGTGAGCATTAGTCAGGTGTGTTTTTTGTTTATCAGCTCAAGCTACACTTACCTGACATGCCACACACTTCACTATACAATTTTCATGTTTGTAATATAGAGAAGTATTTTATCATACCTTAACTTCCCTGTTCCTTCCTCTGGCTCACCCCACGTATGGAGAGGAATTTTCTGAGTGGAAACCAACCCAAATTAAATAATGTCCATGATCCACAGCCATCCACCTTGGCCCAAGATCCACAGCCATCCACCTCAGCCCATGATCCACAGCCATCCACCTCAGTCCAGTAGGGAAAATCACTGACATACACCAGCAACCAGAATTTAAGGTTGGAAAAATTCATATATGTAACCTCTTTAGCTAAATGTACTATATTTTAATTATGCATACCTCACTACATACAACTAATATTACATTATTTTTTTAGAATAACTTAAAACTTCATTTGGCATTTTTGGGGATGTCGAGAACATAACCCAATTATACTCATATGTTATTCAATTCAACTAACAAGTTTTTTTTTTTTTTGTTAACAGTGCCATTTTCAGGAACACAACTATCAAGTTAATTTAGTTCCAATTGTAGAACTTCAAATGATATACAAAAATTAAACTAAGCCGTTTGTTAAGGTGAAACTAATTAATATTTTAATAAAAGAAAATTAGATTAAATTCAGTACTATTATGCAAGTACTACTCAATTATTACATGGCACTGAATATGGCAAAGATTGCAAATAATAGAGGAATGCAAAAACACATTAATGAATTAAAGAGATATTAATGTTATATTCATAATTATCACTTTCATAAGGCAGACTGTTACAAAAAAACTCCAGCCAATCTACTAAAACCAGCCAGTTTTATTTCCATTTATTTTTTGGAATTTCTTCTTGCTGATTTTGTCGAAGAAAAGAAGACCTGATGCCCTTTCTATGACATCTGTAGAAACCTGAAAGTATATATGCAATGTTATTTTAATATATGACTTCAGATATACTTATAAACTGTATATAATAATAAATAAATACACAAACAAGACATGAAAATACACACACATGAAAGAGAGAGGGAGAGAGAGAGAGAGAGAAAAAAAAAAAGAAGAGACTGACTAACTGAAATCAATTTGCTTATTATTGTAGCTTTATAATTTTGATGCAAGTAATTAATTTTAAAACAGCATAGTGCATTAAAAAAAGATTCTTATCATTTGAGCCATAGTATATCTTCTAATTTTAAATATTAAATATAACACAAAGAGCTCTCTTAAAACACCAAAATAATTCTACATACAGAACTCTCAGATGTATTACACGTACAATATTACAGAAATGAAAAATGTAATAAAATGGAAATAAAATAAGTAAAAACTATAGGGCAGAGAGCACTTGCTAAATGACTCCCGTGTTTTTAACCTCTTCATTGGCCATGCCGTAGTAATACGACTGTGAGGTCACTGTTCGTGCCATAGTACTACGCCATGAGCTCAGCTCACTCTCAGAAGCTGTAAGCGGTAAATCTGGGCCTAGATATGAGAGAATGGATCTGTGCAGTAAGTGTGTACCATATAAAAAAAACTGTAGCACGCTGTGTATGATAAAAAACTGTGACCACATTTTTGGTTTAAAACAGCAATTTTGCAGTGTATTTTTGTATAGTTTTTATGGTTGTATTCTTGGTTTCTTGGTCTCATTTGATGGGATGGAAGATATACAGCCTCTCCTCACTTTGCAACGTACTCATTTACCGATGACTCGGACTTACAACGAGCTCTCTGACCAGTATGCATACCTAAATAATGTATATTAGAACTGATTTCCTCTATTCTGTTTATTACAATATACAGTACACCACTGTATAAACACTTAAAAAATATACTAAAAATGTTATAAATGGTGCAAAGGTGACATTAAAATAATATCAAAGATGGTTGACACAAACCCACTACCATTATAGTATGCTTCTTGCTTAGCAACGAATTTGTTTATTGAAGTGGTCTTAGGAACAGAACTCCGTCGTTAGGAGAGGCAGTATTACAGAAACAGAGATAATTTTGATTGGTTTCAGGACTGACAATAGCTTGAAATCGAGCTCAAATTACCAGAGATGTTTGATTTTTGCTGATATTCAAAAGTAAACAAGTCACATCACTCGTCCAATACACATCCAAGTGGTGGGTCTAATATGTATGTTCACGAATGCGTTGATATTATTTATACACTTACTACAATACTACACAACAGTAAATCTTCTACTGTATTTGTGCGAATAAAAATTTTTAGTGTGAATAAAAAATATAAATGGAATTCATAAAGTCTGGGAACATAACTAATGAACAGAGGAAATGTTATTTTAGTGCCAGGAATGCCACATTGCTTATTCTGGACCCTATTTTGAAATTGGAATATTTTGAAATTTGTGTGAAACTGGCCAAATTACCAATTTCTGATCACTTTACTGGGTAGTTGAAATAGCTGATTGGGCAATTTCTTGTGCTCAATTGATAAAATGGAAGACATACTAGCAAAATAGCTAAGAATTTGGTTGACTGCAACATGTAATTGGCCTTAAATAGGACTCAAGTGGGCAAAATCGCTGATATGTAAATATCACTGACACAGCAAAATTCACAAAAGTGTAATTTTGTCAAATTCTCATCAAATTTCATACTTTTTGCTTTATTACCTTCAGAAAAAGGTTCTCTATCACTTCATTGGAAAAAAATAACGATTTTTTTTTTTGAAAGTTCTTGGACAGTGTGGACAATTTTCAGATCGGGGGGGAGGGGGGGGGGGTTCGGACAATGAAAGGGTTAATAGAGAGAAGAACACATGTTGCAGCAACTCCTGTCTCCACCAGGCTAGCCAGCGATGGTCCACTTGCCACTCAATGTATAGAGGAAAATGCTAGGAGGCACCACACTCTCTCTTCTAGGTCATAACTGGCCTTTGAAACACCTAGGTATACCTCTTGAAAAGACAAATGCGCTTCATGTTCCACTTTAATATATTAGTGAAAACAGGAAGAGTGGGGATATTTGCAGTTTTTAACAAGGTGTCCCATGGCCTGGCAGACAACACTCTCACTTCACACTCTGAGTGTCCGTGGTTCGATCCCCAGCAAGGGTGGAAATATTGGGTGTGTTTCTTTACACCTCCTGTCCAATTCACCTAGCAAGTAGGTACCTGGTTGTTAGTGGACTGCTGTGGGTTGCATCCTGGGGGACAAGACTTAAGGACCCCAATGGAAACAAGAGGGACAGTCCCTTGATGACACACTGCTTTCTTGGGTTATCCTGGGTGGCAACCCTCCGGGTTAAACAGCTGAACAAAATCTTATCTCTTAACTGTAGTATTGGCACCCCTCTGACAAGACAATGATGAAGCGATGGTAAAAGGGCTTCCTCTTTTTTTTCAGTCACCTGCCTCGGTTGGAGATGGTTGGTTTGTTAAAAAAAAAAAAAAAATTACTTGCAAAATATTTTTTTGTATCGTCTACAACCATGTTCATTCAGATTTTATTCCCTCTGAAAAGTCATTTACATAAAATAGAAACATTATCATTGCAAGTACATACTGCTTCTTGTGACACCCCACAAACATAAGCTGTCTGCACAAATAACTCACACATAAGAGAGAGAGAGAAGAGCTTATGACAATGTTTCGGTCTAACTTGGATCATTCACAAATCACACTGACAGAAGAGAATGAGTGGGCCAGTATATATGCTTTTCATTATTTCTTTCTTTGTTTTTCCTTTCTTCTGCATATTGTGTTCTGTCTTTCATTCCCCCCCCCCCCTCCCCTGTGTTTTTGGTCCTACCCCTTGTGGGCTCTTAGCTCTTCTGCAGTGCTCCTTTTATTTTTCTTGGCCTTAGACTTAACCCACTTCTACTACTACTACTACTACTATTTCTACTACTTCTTTACTACTATTGCTTCTTCTACTTTCTACCACTTCTTTGCTACTATTGCTTCTTCTACCTTCTACCTTTTCTACCACTATTGCCTCCCTTCTCTCCCCTTTCCATTTTCAGTGACAAAAACTACTCCCCCCTACTTTCTACTACCTCTACTACTACTTCTACTATTTTCACTACCACTGCTTCATTGTCTTCTCTTTCTCCCATCCATGTCCTCCTCACCTATATATACTGGCTCACTCATTCTCTTCTGTCAGTGTGACTTGTGAATTGTCTAAGTCGGACTGAAACGTCGTCCTACACTTTTCTCTCTCCTATGTGCGGGTTATTTGTGAATTGTTCCAGTCACAGTATTGTGTCTTTTTGTTCTTTATAGGCTATCTGACTAGCTCAATGAATGAAAACAAAGTACAGGTCTCCCTCAACATTCACGTTTTCAACTTTCACGGGCTTCACACATTCGCGAATTCCCAACCGCCAAATTCCCAGCCGCCAAATCATATTTAAGTTTCCCGCCACCTGCGAGTCCCTACTACCCTCCCTCCGACCCCCGCAACTGGCAGCCAGCCCTCCCACCACTCAGTGTGGTGAGTGTTTTGTTTGTTCATTATTTGCTATTAAACTACAGAATAAATAATGTAAACCCATTCATGACTGCATATTGGAATGGCTATTAGGAAAGGTATTAGACGGTGACATCATGTGTTTACTCTTGAACACAGCAAAGAATCGAACATTTCTGCTATTGCTAATAATAACAATAGTAATAATAATAATAATAATAATAATAATAAATATGATATAATTGAAGAAGGAAATTGTACACAAATACGAGGGAGTGGTTGACACATCGTCAGTGTGACTTTGTTTATGCTGGAGTGAACATTAGTCTCCCTGCTCTTCCAAACATTTCACAATAATTCATTGTGTTTGGTGCTTGTAGATTGAGTGTGACTGGAGTGGTAGAGGCAGTGATTGAGGCAATGGTATTTAATAACATACATGTTAATAATAATACATGCTATTAATAATATGTACTATTATTATTTATAACATATGTTATTAAATATATACATGTTAATAATAATACATGTTATTAATAATAACATGTACTATTATTATTTATAACATATATGTTATTAAATACCACTGCCTCAACTGCTGAATTATTGTGAAATGTTTGGAAGAGCAGGGAGACTAATGTTCACTCCAGCATAAACAAAGTCACACTGACGATGTGTCAACCACTCCCTCGTATTTGTGTACAATTTCCTTCTTCAATTATATCATATTTATTATTATTATTATTATTATTATTATTACTATTGTTATTATTAGCTGTAGCAGAAATGTTTAATTCTTTGCTGTGTTCAAGAGTAAACACATGATGTCACCGTCTAATACCTTTCCTAATAGCCATTCCAATATGCAGTCATGAATGGGTTTACATTATTTATTCTGTAGTTTAATAGCAAATAATGAACAAACAAAACACTCACCACACTGAGTGGTGGGAGGGCTGGCTGCCAGTTGCGGGGGTCGGAGGGAGGGTAGTAGGGACTCGCAGTGGTGGAGGCAGTGGTATTTAATAACATACATGTTATTAACATACATGTTATTATTAACATACGTTATTAAAGCATAACATGTATATATTTAGTACAATTTATGACGTTTTCATGTATTTTATGATTATTCATGGTTCAACAAGTTAAGGAAGCAGTATTGTAATATATTTCCCTACAATATATTGGGGGACCAAACATTCACGGTTTTTCAACATTCGTGAGGCTCTTGATCCCCTAACCCTCGCGAATGTTGAGGGAGACCTGTACCAAGACCAATAGGAGTATGCAGAACTACTAGTGCCATGTGTTTGAAGTAGTTACACACACAAACAAGATGCCAGCCAACATTGTATGATGGAAGATATCTGTTTAAGCAGGCACAGGTTTGAGGAAGTAACTTTTATTTTAGTTAGATCAGAGCTTTTAGGCAACAGTGCTTAAAAGAAGTGCTATTGTACTGAGGAAAATCAAACACCCAAATAAAAATCTGATTAAATCTGGAAGCAGCCACTAATGCAAGTTCCAAATATCAAAAGCAACACACCGAGTGTATAGTACAGCACATTAGTAAAACATAGATATCACTCAAAGCAATTACATTATAAGTTTCTTATATAAAATTAACCGGACTTAAAAAAATTTTGATGTGAAAATTGAAATTATTTTACATTTTTTATAGTACAGTGATCCACTGAGTTATGTTACTCCATTCCTGAAGATTTATCATGCCTAAAACTATCATTTGTTTTATGATGCCAGAACACACTCACCCTGTCCTTAGATACTTGTAGTTTAAATACACTGAGGTTTTCTGAGTCATAAACACATATAGGCTTCAACAGGGCAGGCAGGACAGGACAGGACAAGCCAGGACAGAGGCAGGGCAGGGGAAAGGGGAGGGAGGGAGGCAGGTGTCAGGCAGATTGGTGAAGAACTTCTTTCTTCTTTCTTTCAACACACCGGCTCTATCCCACCGAGGCGGGGTGGCCCAAAAGGAAAAATGAAAGTTTCTCCTTTTACATTTAGTAATATATAAAGGAGAAGAGGTTACTAGCCCCTTGCTACCGGCATTTTAGTTGCCTCTTACAACATGCATGGCTTACAGAGGATGAATTTTGTTCCACTTCCCCATGGAGGTAAGAGGAAATAAACAAGAACAAGAACTAGAAAGAAAATAGAAGAAAACCTAGAGGGGTGTATATGTATATATGCTTGTACATGTATGTGAAGTGCGACCTAAGTGTAAGTAGAAGTAGCAAGACGTACCTGAAATCTTGCATGTGTTTTTTTGTTTTTTTTCAACAAGTCGGCCGTCTCCCACCGAGGCAGGGTGACCCAAAAAAGAAAGAAAATCCCCAAAAAGAAAATACTTTCATCATCATTCAACACTTTCACCACACTCACACATTATCACTGTTTTTGCAGAGGTGCTCAGAATACAACAGTTTAGAAGCATACACATATAAAGATACACAACATATCCCTCCAAACTGCCAATATCCCAAACCCCTCCTTTAAAGTGCAGGCATTGTACTTCCCATTTCCAGGACTCAAGTCCGACTATATGAAAATAACCAGTTTCCCTGAATCCCTTCACTAAATATTACCCTGCTCACACTCCAACAGATCGTCAGGTCCCAAGTACCATTCGTCTCCATTCACTCCTATCTAACACGCTCACGCACGCTTGCTGGAAGTCCAAGCCCCTTGCCCACAAAACCTCCTTTACCCTCTCTCTCCAACCCTTTCGAGGACGACCCCTACCCCGCCTTCCTTCCCCTATAGATTTATATGCTTTCCATGTCATTCTACTTTGATCCATTCTCTCTAAATGACCAAACCACCTCAACAACCCCTCTTCTGCCCTCTGACTAATACTTTTATTAACTCCACACCTTTTCCTAATTTCCACACTCCGAATTTTCTGCATAATATTTACACCACACATTGCCCTTAAACAGGACATCTCCACTGCCTCCAACCGTCTCCTCGCTGCTGCATTTACCACCCAAGCTTCACACCCATATAAGAGTGTTGGTACTACTATACTTTCATACATTCCCTTCTTTGCCTCCATAGATAACGTTTTTTGACTCCACATATACCTCAATGCACCACTCACCCTTTTTCCCTCATCAATTCTATGATTAACCTCATCCTTCATAAATCCATCTGCCGACACGTCAACTCCCAAGTATCTGAAAACATTCACTTCTTCCATGTGTATGAGACATAATAAAAAGACACCAGCAATCCTACCATCGTGTAAAACAATTACAGGCTTCCGTTTTACGCTCACTTGGCAGGACGGTAGTACCTCCCTGGGCGGTTGTTGTCTACCAACCTACTACCTAGATGGTGAAGAACTTTACACTTTAAATTTGCACTCTTGTAGTTTACTGCTTCCTATGTCTGGTACACGTAGTCTCCCTCCCTTCCATCTTCCCTCACTCCCCCCCACCCACACATCTCCAACACACCCTCCACCATCACTCCACTGAAGACCTTTTCATCACACTGTCTTGTCTCTGGACTGAGGACCACCCACACATACCAAACATTATACATGTATCATATCTCAAATTTTTCATGACAACTCAAAACTAAATTCCCATGTGAGTTTAAATTGTAACTCAAAATTATTATAACTCAAGGGTGCACTGTACTAGGGAAAATATTTACAGTAGTAAGATTGGTGAGATTGGTAAGATTGTTTCAACACAATATGTGTCTGGGGCCCAAGACTGTTCAACGGCCTCCCAGCATACATAAATGGGGGATTACCAATAGACCCCTGGCTGTCTTCAAGAAGGCACTGGGCAGGCACCCAAAGTCAGTACCTGACCAACCAGGCTGTGGTTTGTACACTGGGTTGTGTGCGGCCAACAGTGACAGCTTGGTTGATCAAGCCTTGATCCACCATGAGACCTGCTCACAGACCGGGCCATAGGAGTGTTGACCCCCAAAACCCTCTACAGGTATACTCCAGGTATATTTATTACACGTTAACTGTCCTTTTGGACGCTGCTGTTGCAAACTGATCTTAGGCCAGGCCTCCAAATTAGAAAATAATGAACAAGAAATATTAGGAAACATACAGGAAAGAAATAACTGTATAAGGAATGCAGCAGAAAATATAATTTTGTAAGACTGACCTGTCATCTTACATGTTCATGAAGAAGAAAGAAAAGACCAATAATCCTGCCAAAGAGTAAAATGTTAAGTAGTCCGCCATGTGTTACCAATATGACAGGGCAGGAGTACAACCCTGAATGTTCATTAAAATTGCCTCAAGTAGGAGTTATACTATTAAATTATAATAAGAAGCTTCATTGTGGGATCATACATTAAATGTCTTGAGTTTCAGCTCAATGTAAAGAGAAATTCTCTTATAATCATCATTCAACAAAACTTCAGACCTTATGGTAAGGGAGGTATAGATTACAGGTAGAGCAACTGAAAACTAAGTAACAACTTACATGGTATAAACCTTGGTTTTCTAGCATGTCCTAATGTTTGCTCACATGTCTTTTTAAACCAACAACTTACATAAAATGTAGAGAGGGGTACTGCATTCTCAATATAAGCATTAGGAAGGAGGAAAGACTCCAGCTCCAGTTCTCCAGTGTTAGCTTCACTCACCACAACCTGACAATACAAAAGAAAAAAATCTAATTTAGTAATATTAGAAAATGCAAAATATTGTGTTAGTAATTTCTTTTTTTATTTCCTCTTAAAGAAATAATTCTATATAAAATGCCTTAGACAAGGCTGTGATATCACCATGGTTGCTTAATATATTTACAGTTGGGATGTAACATATTGGATGTTAGGGTGTTGAGAAGAGATGTGGGATTAAAAGATAATGATTCTCTTAAAGTTGCTCTTGGCTGATGACACAGTTCATTTGGGAGAGTCTGAAGAGAAGCTGCATAAGTTGGTGGAGGAATGTAAAGGAAATAAATTAAAAGTAAATGTAGACAAGAGGAAGGTAATTGAGAGTAATGACAAAGTTTCGGGAATGAAAGATTGGACATCAGCTTGAAGGGAGTATGGAGGAAGTTAATGTATCCAGGTAGTTAATATATTCATATATTTTTAAGCATACATATTGGCAGATGAGCTTATGAACGATAAAATAAACAAGGTAGATGATGAATTACGGCATCTGTACAAGGAAAGAAGTTAATCTATAGAGGGAAAAATGGGGTAAAACACCAGAAAATAGTGGTATCAACATTTATACAGGTGAGTTATGGGCTTTTAACATTTCAGTGAGAGGCTGAAGGCAGTGGACATGTCATTTTTGAGAGTAATGTGTGGTGTGAATATCATGTAGAGAATTTGGAGTGTTCTTTCAACAAGAATTTGGAGTGTAGTACAGTGGACCCCCGGTTAACGATATTTTTTCACTCCAGAAGTATGTTCAGGTGCCAGTACTGACCGAATTTGTTCCCATAAGAAATATTGTGAAGTAGATTAGTCCATTTCAGACCCCCAAACATACACGTACAAACGCACTTACATAAATACACTTACATAATTGGTCGCATTCGGAGGTAATCGTTATGCGGGGGTCCACTGTATATAGAAAAAATTTGGAGTGTATATAGGTAGTTGGTTAGTGGACAGCAAACACTCAGGGTGGTACTACTGTCCTGCCAAACAAGTGTGAAACTGAAACTTGTTATTGTTTTACATAGTGGTAGGATAATTGGTGTCATTTCTTTCTGTCTCGTAAACATGCAAGACAACAGGTACATCTTGCTACTTCTACTTAAACTTAGGTCACACTACACGTATATGTACATGTACATGTATACACGCCTGTCTGACTTTTCTTCTATTTACTTAATAATTCTTGTTCTTATATTTTCTGTTCATCTCCATGGGGGAATGGAGAAGAATCCTTCCTTTGTAAGCCATGTGTGTTGTAAGAGGTGATTAAAATGATGGGAGAAAGAGACTAGTAGCCCCTTCTCCTATATAAATTACTAAATATAAAAAGAAGAAAAATATTAATTTTCTGGTGGAAATACCCTGCCTCAGTGGGAAACAGCCGGTGAGTAAAAACAAATAAGAGCACATAAATTAGATGATGTGGAGTTAACGAAGGTATAAATCAGTGAGCTGAGCAGTTGTTGAGGTGGTTTGATCATTCAGAGAAGATGGAACAAAACAGGATGGCCAACACAGTGTATAAATTTGCTGTGAAGTGAGGGAGGGGTAGGGGTCATCCCAGGTATAGTTAGAGGGAGGAGGTAAAGGTTTTGAGTACTAGGGGCTCTATATGAGATAAAGGGAGGGTACCTAAGAATTAGGTACCTAATTACACTCACTTGGTAGCATCCTGCCAAGTGAGTGTAAAATGGAAGCCTGTAATTGTTTTACATGATGGTAGGATTGCTGGTGTCTTTTTTCTGTCTCATAAACATGCAAGATTTCAGGTATGTCTTGCTACTTCTCCTTACACTTAGGTCACACTACACATACATGTACAAGCATATATATACACACTCCTCTGGGTTTTCTTCTATCTTCTTGCTTGTTCTTGTTTATTTCTGCTTATCTCTATGGGAAAGTGGAACAGAATTCTTCCCCCGTAAGCCATGCGTGTCATAAGAGGTGACTAAAATGCCAGGAGCAAGGGGCTAGTAGCCCCCTCTCCTGTATATATTACTAAATTTAAAAGGAGAAACTTTTCTTTTTCTTTTTGGGCCACCCTGCCTTGGTGGGATACAACCAGTTTGTTGAAAGAAGAAAAATGACTGTAGAGGGACAAGTAGAGGATAAGGAGCATAGATGTGTATACTAAGCAAGTATACATGTCGAGTAAAAATCTGATAAAGGTAAGAAAATTTTGTTGCATTTAGGGATTTAAAAAAAGCACCTATGTATGGAATAGATAGGTTATTAAAAATAGCAAAGAGTTTTAATATGGATTTTTATTAATGCTCATGTAATTTTATTAAGTTTGCATGCACCAGAATATTAAAAAAAAAAAAAAAAAAAACCTGCCCACAT